CGTGTGTGTTGGGGGGCGGAGGCGGGAACCCCGCGGCTGCTTGAGGGAAGGAGGCTCAGGCGTGGGGCGGGCGGGTGCCGGGCCCCTCCTGCGGGGGCGCGGGGAGACCTGTGCCCTCACGTTCTTTCTCCTCCCGCAGCCGTGTGGTCCCGCCACCCCGCGCAGGGCGCGCCCAGCTGGCCGTGGGGATGGCCACCCGAGTCCGGACCGCAGCCGTCTGGGTGAGTAGGGGCTTTAAGGTTTTCCTCTCGTGTCTGAAAAACTCCCTCAACGCCGATATGTGCTCACTGCGTCTCTCCTAGGGTCGGAGCTTGCCTGGAGTTTCCTCTCCTCACCCCGCTTCCAAGCCGCTGGGCCACCTTTAGATGACATTAGGCCGTCCGGATATGCTTCTTGTCACCCACCTGTTAATTTACTCCTTCCTTCAGTCTCGTTTCTGCCAAGTGTGTACCTTGAACCTTGAGTTAAAGAAGGGGTAATCATCTTCCAGTTTCTTCCACACGTATTTTCTTAATTTTTTCTTTCTGTGTCTCAGATTTGGGCGCCTCGTTTGGGGAGTTGTGCAGTTGTTTATTTGCTTAATTAGCAATTTTGTTAATTGTCTTTTGTTGGCTGGATCCTGGGCAGGTGCTGAGGGTACAAAGATGAGTAGTTGTTGCCTTCGGAGAGCAGTGGTCTGGTGGCACAGTGACACTTTAGGGGTCCCTCTGTGAGCAGGCTGTGGACGTGGGCGGGGACACACAGCACAGGGTCGGTTTTGGAAGGTAGGACACCCCCAGGAAATGCTTCAGAGATTAACGGGAGAGTCTTAAGCTGAGATTTGAAAGGTGAGTGAGGTGAACAAGGGACCAGAGGTCAGCCTAGGAAAAGGAAGCAGCGTGCAGATTTGCAAGGCTTGAAGCAAAGCGATCTAGTATGTTGGTGAACGTTTGAACGCTCTACGGTTGCCGAGAAGTAGAAGAATGGAGGTTTGTAGGTGATGAGGGTGGTGGAATGTGTATTAAGAAATGAGGCCAGAGCTGCCGGCAGAAGCCAGATCATAAAGGGCTTTGAGGATCATGTTAAAAACTTAGATCTTACTCTCTTGAGTAGAAAGACTTATTGACATGTTTCCCAGGATTTTTGGAGGGGAGAGGGGAGGTAATTAGGTTCATTTATTTATTTAACAGAGGTCCTGGGGTCCAGGACCTCATGCATGCTAAGCATTCGCTCTACCAGTGGGCTATATCCACCCTCCTCCCCGGCCTCCCAGGGATTCTTTTTTGCCTTAGAGTCTGTTTTATCTTCGTACAACTGTAGGAGCCTCCCTCTGAGTAATTGCTGGTTATGTCTTTTTCTTTAGCTTTTGACCTTTTTGGATCTTAGTATTTTAGACGTGTTTTTGAAAAATCACATCATTGCTTTTTTTAAAAAAATCAGTCTGTCAGTCTTTGTGTCTAACTGGAGCATTTTTTAAACATTTTTTTATCGAGTTATAGTTATTTTACAATGTTGTGTCAATTTCCAGTGTAGAGCACAATTTTTCTGTTATACGTGAACATACATATATTCATTGTCACATTTTTTCCCTGTGAGCTACCACAAGATCTTGTATATATTTCCCTGTGCTATACAGTATGATCTTGTTTATGTATTCTACATTTTGAAATCCCAGTCTGTCCCTTCCCACCCCCGCCCCTTTGGCAACCACAAGTTTGTATTCTATCTCTTTGAGTCTGTTTCTGTTTTGTATTTATGTTTTGGGTTTTTTTTTAGAGTCCACATATGAGCGATCTCATATGGTATTTTTCTTTCTCTTTCTGGCTTACTTCATTTAGAATGACATTCTCCAGGAACATCCACGTTGCTGCAAATGGCATTATGTTGTCGGCTTTTATGGCTGAGTAGTATTCCATTGTATAAATATACCACTTCTTTATCCAGTCATCCGTTGATGGACATTTAGGCTGTTTCTATGTCTTGGCTATTGTAAATAGGGCTGCTATGAACACTGGGGTGCAGGTGTCATCCTGAAGTAGATTTCTTTCTGGATATAAGCCCAGGAGTGGGATTCCTGGGTCATATGGTAAGTCTATTCCTAGTCTTTTGAGGAATCTCCATACTGTTTTCCACAGCAGCTGCACCAAACTGCATTCCCAGCAGCAGTGTAGGAGGGTTCCCTTTTCTCCACAGCCTTTCCAGCATTTGTCATTTGTGGACTTTTAAATGATAGCCATTCTGGCTGATGTGAGATGATAGCTCATTGTAGTTTTGATTTGCATTTCTCTGATAATTAGTGATATTGAGCATTTTTTCATGTGCCTATTAATCATTTGTATTTCTTCCTTGGAGAATTGCTTGTTTAGGTCTTTTGCCCATTTTTGGATTGGGTTTTTTTTTTTTTTTCTTATTAAGTCTTATGAGCTGCTTACATATTCTGGAGATCAAGCCTTTGTCGGTTTCATAACTGGAGCATTTTATTATGATTAATGTGATGACTGATAGGTTTGAGAGAGAAAGGGGAGGAGAGAGAGGATGAATGAGAAGGGGATCTGGGGTTCTGCTTTATTGGGGTCAGATTAGGGGGTTGCAGGTTCATTGTTTATCGGTGAATTTAAAATATAAGGTGAGAATTAAGACATAGGAAGGGGAGAGTGGGGTCACTCAAGCAAGCGATTTTCGGCCCCCAGACTGTCTGCGATGGATCCTCAGGGTGGGGTGGCTGGGCTCTTCCTCGAGTTGTGTAGCAGCTGTGTGCATCCAGGACAGATGTCCTTGACGTCAGAGGCTTTCTGTACAGTCAGGCACTTGCATTACAGTCAAAAACAGCTCATTGTGAGGCAGCTATACTACAAACGTTCATCACCTAGTAGCATTTTTCGGTACCTCATTCCTTTTTATGGCTACATAGGATACCTTCGTCGGTAGAGACCACGTTTTGTTTACCCATTCCACCATTCCGAGATGTTTGGGCTGTTTCCAGTTTTTGGCTATGATGAATAATGCTGTTACAAACATTTCTGTGTAAATGTTTCTATGGATGTAGGTTTTTAATTCTCCTGAGCGGATACCTAGGAGTGGGATTGCTGGATAATTCAGTAATTCTGGGTTTAAGAATTTGAGGAGCTGCCAAGCTGGGTCCGAAGTGGTGGCGCCAGTTTACATTCTCACCAGCCATGCACGAGGCTTCCCCTTGCATCTCTCCGTCACGTGCTAGATATCTTGGTCC